TATAGCTACGATTTGAAATATAATTTTTGTATTTGTGAATTATATTGACTTTTAATATAAAGATATAGAAAAGTATCCTATGTCCCCCCTCTGGTTCTAAGGTTTCAGCCAAGTCGGGCCAACCATTCTTGAGTTATAAATAGTGTAAGTAACACGATTTTCTTTTATACATACATACTATGTATACATACTATCGGCTCGGTACGTACTTCGCTACGTATGAAGGGAAATATTAAAAAAACCTATTTTTTTTAATTGCTWGCTATTTTAAAACTTAATTCTAATTGTTTGCGTATCAGTTGGAATAGGGATACGCGGTATCAAGAAACTACAACTTTTCATTAAACAGCTAGGATCGTAGCTTCAATCAAATTTAGTAACAACTTTTTCACTGCCGACAGCAACAGTTGCAACCTGAGTTAATAAAATTTGTATCACTAAAAGATGACAGTTGAAATCTCGAATTGCATTGTTGAAAAAAAAAGCTTCGACAGTTGGGTGGTCCTAAAAATTAATGAATACAATGGTTTGGTGGAGTTTTTAACGCTGGTAATCTCACTTTGCCATTAGCACAACGCATTTCGAGCGTTTCACCTTGAAAGTCAAATCACAATGTGAACAATTTGCGTCTATCATTTCAATGTATCCCYACATACTATAATCAATTTCACTATCGTAATTAACCCTTTACACTCGAGAGGTGACTCTAACTCACCATGAGGTGTGTGTGCTGTCGCAACTCGAGAGGTAACTATCGCTCACCACTTGGTTTGCTGCGGTAACTCGATACGCGGCACATATTTCCTTCACCTAAAAGTGTCGTAAACTGTGTTTTTTTTTTTTTTGTTTGGAGATTTCTTTAATAAATTCATATATTTTATTTAAACCACTGAAGAACAGAGAAGCGAATATCCGCTTACTCATTGACGATACTTGAAAACATTAGTCAAGCAATTGACTGGAGATTTCCACCAAACGCGCGAGCCTCGACTTCAATTCCTCAAAGTGATT